TAGAAACTTGGTAGGGGTCTCTAGAGAAAGGTCTTGGTCTGTAGATGAGCCATCAAAAGAGGAATGAGGCAAATTCCCTTGGGGCTCTGCCCCAGAAGCTTTTAAAGTTGCCTCTTCAGATTTGTTTACATTACGACCATATGCATAATTCTACACTTTTTAATGCAAAAGCTGTTAATATTTAAATTGCGATTTATTGAATTTGTCAAAATGAAGTGCAGTATTTGCAAATGGATTTTTCTGATTTTAAAATTGATTTTCTTCTGCATCGTGTCATGTTTTGCAATATAATGTTCTATTACCATATCAGTGGAAAATCCTAATATCACAGTAACTTAACTTTTAAAATTATTTCTTATGGAGTTAACTTAAGTTATATCTATTGTAGGCCTATGGTTTGGTTTCTGCCTTTTTTACCACTTCTTGGAGATTGTACGTAAGTGATATTCTTTGGCATATTGCATCTGTAGACGAAAAATGGGTTGGTGTAATTATTACAATGGAAAAGAGCGAGAAATCCTGGACAATTTGATATGGGCTAAAAATAAAACTGAATTAACACTGTGCTACATTTCTTGAGCAATCATTGAATAACCGAATTTTTGAAATAACCGATTTGCAAACAATGGAAGCATAGAAAAAGTCATAGAACACAACCAAGTAGAAGAAATAGAAATATTTTTTTTACACTAAAAACACTAAAAGAACAAGATTAGCTTTTTGAAAAAAAGATAAGATGTTTACAAAAGATTTTGATTATATCTAACTGTTGTGTAGATCATGAGTAATTCCATAATCTTTGAATCACCTGTAATGCTTCGCAATTGCTCGAATTCGAGCAACAGGTACACTAGTTTTAATTAATTGTATTAAGTAAAAAGCAGAAAGAGTTTATTTAAGAATGGCTAGAAAATTATTCCGGAATAATATAGGCTACTGTATGGATAGAGGACAAAAAAAAACTTTAGCCTAACTAATTTAAAATCATATTGAAGCAGGACATTAAAAAAATTTAAGGTAAGTTACCAATAGTAATTTTTAAAATAACATAAGTTAGATCAAATCACTTCACTTGGCTGAATTGATATGCAAGTGCGTGTGACAAACACTCCACTAGAGCCTATTCTTAAAATTATTTAAGTAAGTTTAGCAAGACCTTAGTAAAGTTAGTTAAAATGTATGATCCATACTTAAATAGGTGACTTTTACCTTTGTTGTTTGTTTTTTTTTTAACAACATCAATCTCAATCACAAATTATGTAAACAGTAAACACAAACACTGCTTTTGAGTTTAGGGTTTGACATTTAATTCATTCATAAATTAATTATTCAACAAACTTGCTCAGCTGTAACCAAACCAACCACCAGACCAGTCACCAGACCACACACCAGTCAGGCACACCGGTGGGGCACACGGGAGGGACTAAGGCTAACATATCTTGTACTGTCAGCGTTCGCCGCTAGAACCGAGTTGAACAAATTTAAATTATTTTTTTTTTTTTAGTTATAAAATTAACTTTTCCTACAGTTACCTAACAATGTACATGTTCTCTCACTGATTTGAGAAAGCAAAGTGGCCAATTCGCTCATCAGTGAGACAATGTTAACATTGTCTCACTCTAATTACTTTGTCTCACTCCAGATTTGCAACGTGAAGGCACGAAATAGTGAGCGCGTAACATGCAGGCAACGTCATATGCGCGCGAAATACGTTGGCAGCTCTGGCTGTAAATCAGCTGGTCAGCTGTTGTACTGTTGTATTTGTCACTTCGCATTAAATGTTATATTAAAAGTTCACTTCTGTGTAAAAATAGGTTATGTTTCTTCACCAATTTATTTGTTTTATGGTAACTGTAGGAAAAGTATAATGTGCAACTCGAGTTCAAAGTACAATTGCCTCACTCGAGAAACCATTCCTCACTCGCCTACGGCTCGTGAGTAAGGATTTCTCTCGAGTGAGTCAATTGCTCACTTTTCTCACTAGTTGCACAAATAACTATTTCAATTATAAAATAAATTTAAAATTTTTAGAATTAAACTGTCATAACATAACCTAACCAACCAGACTTGCTAATAATATAAAAACTATATAAGATAAAATCTAATTAATGATTACTTATAATTTTTAATTATAAAATTAATTTTAAAATTAAGTATTATAATACCCCCGCCGCAGCGAACCTGCAGACTAAGCGAATTTCCTTTTGCCTGACTGGATTTACACTAAAATGCCTCCTAAAAAAATATTACATTTATTCCTTATTTAATAGAATTATTTTAACAAGTACTTAGGTTTGCTGCAACAGGGCGGGTAAAAAGTGCTTTTTTGTTGTATAATGTTAATAGTTTAGTAAGAAATGAATGAATTTTCCAAATTCCATCAAAACATGTTCATAAAATAAGCAAACTACAACAGTTGATTTATTCTCCATAAGAATAACATGGAAATTTTAAATTTATAATTTTTTGGAATTTTCTCCATAACCTTTAGGCGCACAATAACGCTTCAATATACTAAATTATTTGTTTTTTTAAGCTCTACAAAATGATTTGGAAAGAAATTGTGAAATTTTGGATTTTTAGGGTCAAAAATTGGAAAAAACTATTTTTACCCCATAAAACCCCCCATAAACCCCTGTTCTCATAGCCCGAGCATGCTAGTAGTCAGCCCAGCGACTTGGCAGAAATTGACCTTGAGATGATCTAGGTGTACTCTCAGCTGGTTTAACTACAGCTGATTAGTTGACCACGTGACATTAGTTGACCACGTGATGTCAGTAGGTGTTTATATTAAATAAATTATTAAATTAAATAATGGATAAAAAGTGTTGGCCTGACCGGGTTTCGAACCCCGGTCTTTTTGTTGGTAGTTGGAGTCGTTACCATATGAGCCACAACAGTAGTTATGGGTATAGAGTTTATAGTGGTAAATGACACCTTATACAGGGTACCTATACCCTTGTACCTATACCTTGCATATACAGGGTGTGTATTGGAGATTTGATTTTAACATGGAGGTTCACGGGTTTGAATCTAACCTATGTTAGAGGTTTCGAATCTAAACTGAGGTCTATGGGTTTAATGCTAACCTATCATTGGAGGTTCACGGGTTCGAATCTAACCTATGTTAGAGGTTCACGGGTTCGAATCTAACCAACCACTAATGGTAACTGAGGTTTACTGGTTCAATCCTAACCTATGCTAGAGGTCTATGGGTTTAATGCTAACCTATCATTGGAGGTTCACGGGTTCGAATCTAACCTATGTTAGAGGTTCACGGGTTCGAATCTAACCAACCACTAATGGTAACTGAGGTTTACTGGTTCAATCCTAACCTATGCTAGAGGTTTATGGGTTCAATCCTAACCAATCACAACTGTTTATTTCAGCTGATCACGTGATCTAGTTTAGAGGTTCACGGGTTCAATCCTATCCTAGTAGGATTTGTAAAAAAAACGTTTTATATAGTGTATAATGCTTAAACCTTACTGTTGATCATAATTGGTAAATGTTGGAGGTTATTTTATAGTGTATAATAAATATAAATCAGCTGAAAGAGGGCTTAAGTGGAATTTTACCGTTGATCATAAAAGAATGTTAAATGTGTAGTAGTATTGGAGGTTATGTTGATATTATAATTTGTATATGTGTATCTCTGTAACCTACATATACAGGGTGTGTAAGTATTGGTTGGAGGTCTGTGGGTTCGATTCTAGCCTATACTAGAGGTTTAATGCTAACTAATATATCATTGGAGGTTATTCTATATATGCTATAGTGTGATAAAACAAATGATAATTTATGTATCTGATGTTAAAAACAGCTGAAAGAAGGCTTAAGTTTACCACTGAGTATAAAAATGGTCTTTGTAAAGGCTATTAAATATCATATGTCAAACTTACATCTAATCTATGCTAAACGAGTTACTTAGGTTGTTTTTTGTATAGTGAGAGGTTCATAGGTTTGATCCTTAGCGGGTTATATGAATTTATGTATGTAACCACAAGTGAAACAGGTCTATTATACTAGAGTACTAGTGTTGATGCAGTAATAAATGTATAAATATATAAGATTTACTATGTATTACTTGTACTATATGTACATCTTGTATAAATGTTTTAAGTCTAAGTTGTCAGAGCTTTCTTTAATGTAGCAGTGATTCTTACTATCTTGGTTGATTACGTGACCTCAAACCAATGCTTTGTTAATTAGTAACAACTGATTATATGACATTGGAGCGACCTCTACAGTGTAGCTTGTTTGTGTAGTTCAACACTTGTGTAGTTCAATGTGAGATCAATGTTACAGCTTCTATTATGGGTAAGTGTTAGAAGTAACTATTTATTAAAACTATTACTATTTTGAAATTTGTATTATAATACAAATGTATTAACAATAAAGGGTTTTTGAGGTTAAATAAAAACAGTAGATTTTACTCAGAGAAATATATATTTAGCCTATCGGCTATAAATTTTCTGCAAAAGGGACATCTATATACCCTGTGCGCGCAATTAGGGCACAGGGTATGCCCACATGGTTGTAAAGCAACTGTGGGGGCATTCTCTAGGCAAATTTGACACGTTACCGAATTAATTGGGGGATTTGATGGTCGTGGAACTCGTTCTGATATCATAGTGTCTATTTGGCCGGTAGTCTGCCTCAATACACCTTCTAAAGTGTTACGGAGGTCCTCCCATAGAGCTGATATAACTGCTGGCTGTAGTCCACAAGCATTTGAATAACCCTCTAATGTATTTCCGGCTAAGCTAGCTACAGCTAGGAGTTCGGTTCGTAGCGTAGCAATCCTACCAGCTGCAGCTGCAGGTAGGGTAAATTCCGGGTTATTCATAGCCTGAAAGATATTATACAAGAATTAATGTTTTTATCTATTTATATAAAATAGTATAAACCATAAATCAGCTGGTTAGTAAAATTTATTACAGTAGTATATAATAAATCTCTCTCAAGTTGGAGGTAAACAATAGTTAAATTTTGTGTGGAAAGTTTAGTGTAAACATATTAATTTATTTATGCTTAATTTCTCTTTAAAGGATACCTACCCTTTGAAGTAACCTCCAGCGAAAGGTTTCAAGGCGAGCGCTCTGCCGGCAGCTGCGACATTCATGTGTTTCAGGTATAGTTGAAGTAGAATTCTGAAAATAGAAACATATATATTAAGCTGACTTTTATTTACTTCAATATATAGTTGATTTATCATCAAGGTAATATTATATTTGGATCACTCATTTACTAGTTAATCTGTATCATATAAAACTGGGGTAGCTTTCTCTTCTAATTTAAATTTATTGTTGAAGGAATAAAAATAACTGAATAAACCTCTGTTATAAAAACATATACTACAGATTTATATAAACATTTTGTAGATTTAATAATGTAGTGTTTAACTAATATTCTTTCTATAGATTTGTATAGGTGAAATATTTGTTTAAGTACTATATCAAGTCCCAATAAGTGGAAAATAATATGGATAAACCAGGTGTAGCCCACTGTTGGAATGTAAAACTTATTAGAACTAAAAATATATGTGTTGAAGTAACTTTGTGATTAGTTAACTAATGCAACTCTATTTAAGTGTAACAGTTTATTAGATTAATAGCTATAAAGATTAATAAGTTTGATAAATGTGGTGTTTTATTTTTAAATCTTTAAAAAAGAGATAAATAATAACAGAAAAAATCTAATAGCTGTAATTGTATCTCAACACTTTTATTTGTTGTATATATATAAGAAATTTATCATTAGTAACTAAAGCAAGCTTAGGAAGCTAATATGTTTAGTAGAGTTAAAACCATTGAAGTAATTACTTAACTATATCAGCAAAAATAAAAAGTATGTTGAGTTGAATGATTTGATTTTGAGTTTGTTCTTACAGGCTATCAGTATTACACTTATATGTCTTGTAATGTTAAAATACTTATTACAGGTTGTATATGTTGGGGAGGTTGGGATGGACCGGCTAATTCATCAGCTGTTGGCCGCTGTCTAGCAACATCAGCTGGGGTATTCACTGTTGAAGGTGTTTGGGATATAGCTGAAGTTGAAGGTATTGTAGGTCTAATGATATTAGTTATATCGGAAGATGGCTATTGAAAACAAAATAAGTATTAGTAATAGCTTAGGTAGTAATTACTTGATTACATCAGTAAAAATTAAAAAATGTCGAGTTAATTAAATTGATTTTGTTAAAATACTATAATAATTTGTACTTGTTTCTACATGTATGTTTTATTAAACAGAACCTTACTGTTGAGCATAAAAGAATATTAAATATGTAGTAGTATTGGATGTTTATAATAAATGTGGAACAAACGATAATTTATCTATCTGATGTTAAAAACAGCTAAAAGAGGGCTTAACTTTATCATTAAAAGCTACTAAATATAGTAGGTTTGACTTGAAGGTGGTTGATAATTATCTAACTTCTTTGGTAATTATCTAACTACATTAGTAAAATAAAAAGTATGTTGAGTTGAATGATTTGATTTTGAGTTTGTTCTTACAGGCTATTAGTATTACACTTATATGTCTTGTAATGTTAAAATACTTACTACAGGTTGTACTCGTCTGGAAGGTTGGGATGGTCCAGCTAATTCATCAGCTGTTGCTGTCTGCTGTCTAGCAACACCAGCTGGGGTATTCACTGTTGAAGGTGTCTGGGATATACCTGAAGTTGAAGGTATTGTAGGTCTAACGATATTACCTATATCGGAAGATGGCTATTGAAAACAAAATAAGTATTAGTAATAGCTTAGGTAGTAATTACTTGATTACATCAGTAAAAATAAAAAAATGTCGAGTTAATTAAATTGATTTTTTTAAAATACTATAATAATTTGTACTTGTTTCTACATGTATGTTTTATTAAACAGAACCTTACTGTTGAGCATAAAAGAATATTAAATATGTAGTAGTATTGGATGTTTATAATAAATGTGGAACAAACGATAATTTATCTATCTGATATTAAAAACAGCTAAAAGAGGGCTTAACTTTATCATTAAAAGCTACTAAATATAGTAGGTTTGACTTGAAGGTGGTTGATAATTACCTAACTTCTTTGGTAATTATCTAACTACATTAGTAAAATAAAAAGTATGTTGAGTTGAATGATTTGATTTTGAGTTTGTTCTTACAGGCTATTAGTATTACACTTATATGTCTTGTAATGTTAAAATACTTACTACAGGTTGTACTCGTCTGGAAGGTTGGGATGGTCCAGCTAATTCAGCAGTCATTGCTCGCCGCATTGCAACATTAGCTGACGACGACCTATCTACAGATAGCCAAATTCCATCGGTTGAGGATGCCTGGGCTACAGCTGAAGTTGAAGGTATTGAATGAGGTGTAATAGGAGGTACTACTAATGAGGGTCTAACAACAGAAACTATTGTTGGTGAGAGCTGTTGAAAATAAAATTAGTATTAGTAATAGGCGGGGTGTTATTAAAATAATATTAAATTGTTTAGGTAATACTACCTACATGTTCTGATGAAAACATTCGTAGAAAACTTGAAGGTTCCAGTATTATCATATTTGTAATTTCTTCATGTGGAAATCCAGAAATAGGGATTGAAGCTGAAGGGATGTTTGTTAGGTCCCTCTCATAAAACACACCATCTCTCTGAAACAAATAGTTTAAAATGTAAATAGGTATAAGATTCTCTTAAACTATAAAAATCTTTTTGTCTCTATATAACTCACCATAAGAATTCGTAGAACACAGGTAACATCATTAATCCTTGAAGTTATATAATAATCCTCAACTAACAGCTCCTGCAAAGCTGTTGTATAAAGCTCGCTTACACACCTCTCAGCATAATCTTGGTCTACTTGCCGGAAGTTGGTGGGTATAGCAAGTCTAGCTATAACTTCTTCCTGAAACACAATCTTAGCTAAATAATGATATACAGTATAAACATATATAATATAAATTATATTTTAATATTGTTTTAAAAATATTTAAAATGTATTTTACCGAAAAAATGTGAAGAACTATCCCTCTTGTGTGTACGAACCAAAGGCCAAAGTTATTTGATCTGTTAATCTGAAACATAAAATGGTTATAATATAATCCTAGTAAATATTTGTTGTATTGTTTTTGCTTGTATATTTTTGGACTTTTTAAATACTTCTTTTAAAATATTTCTTACTGAGTCTCCACGGGGTAAAAGCACTCGTTCTGTATTTAGCCGCCTACGTCTAGTGGGTGGTGGTGAAGAACTCTCAGATATCTGTAAAAATAAAGCTTATTAAAAATAGAATAATAATAACTAACTGTTAGTTTAACTATTATTGAAATCAACTCATCTGTTGGTTGCTAGACTTTTTTAAAATCACAACCTTAAACTAAAATTAAAGTTTTAATATTTTTTATCATAAAACTCTGTTACATACCTAGGATTATTTAATATCTAAGATATGTATTATATAAGGAAAACTATAACTTACATTATTTATAGCTCTTCTTTGTTCATTTTGTCTACTCTGTAAATAGAAGGAAATAATATTATTACCCTATTTGAACTAGTAATATTATATAACTCTAAAAGAATTTTTTGTCAAAACATTTTGTTGGTTAGGAATCTAAATATATACACCTGTGTGTTTAATCATGCTTAACATTATATGTTGTAGCTTTCTGAAATTATAAGGCTCTCTTATAAATAAAAATTAAATCACAAACTATGATCAAGTATATATATAGTATAGTTGAGATAAATAGAACTTGTTTGAAATGTAGAACTTTGTGATTGGTTTGTAATAGAAAAAAAGCTATTAAAATAAGTAGAATTTAAAATCTTGTTTAACAAACTCTAACTAATTCTAATCTATAAATATACTTACAGCTGATCTTAGAATATCACGATCATCTTGAAAGAAGGAATCTCTTGAACTCTGACTTGGTGGAACTACAGATCCAGGGCTTGAAGGTGGTGAATCTATGATGCTTGAATTTGGGCTTGATGGTGAACTAGCTGGTGAGTTGTTTTGTATAGGAGTTACTAAATAGTTATAGATGTGATCATTTATGTGTATCCAGTTTGTATTAGCTGTAAAACGCCTTGTTGTTGTTTGCCAAGCCCAAATAGGGTTGTCTTGAAGTGTATACATTCTGATCAATTGCCAATTATATCCATCAATGTTTTCATGTATGATAACTATACAATTAGAGGGACCTGCTCCTTGTATTTGTATTTCATGTGTTAGTTGTTGCACTGTTTGCTAAAAAACAAATAATTAAATTATATAGCTGATTAAAATATAAACAATAATCTAGAAACTTTTAAAACAGCTAGAGCAGAGCCTAAGAGTATAAGACTAGTTTGCAACATATTATTTATATAGATTATAAATATGTTTGTTGCTTAAATTATAAATACTAATAACTTTTAAAGAGTTAACTTAATCACCTCACTATAGTCATCAAAACTAAAAACAAATTCTTAAAGCTCTTGTGTAATTGATTACTGTGTAAAATCTGTCTAAATAAAAGGTTTAGTAAAATATATTTGATTTAGAGTAAAGTTTAAGATATGAGAGGTGACAAAAATACTTAATCTTGATATATTGTAAAAATCTAATTATATATATTCAAGTTATATAGCTTACCCAGGTAATTGGATAAAAGTTGCTTAATACATGTGGCGGGGAGCGAGGCGGTAAAAGCGGGTTAGCTTCTAAAATGAGAAGATGGCCAAGATCGTTTTGAAAAAAACTATCTGTCTCCATAGCAACAAATGGCTGAAAACATAAGTAGAATTAAAAACCTAATAAGTTTAATTTAACACTTAGATAAGTAGAAGTTTATCTATATAAAGCTTCTACTTACAACAAGAACAGAAGATTCAGCCTCTCTTAACATATCTCTTAAGTGTGAGTTAAGGACAATCCTTTTTGATATAGGTGCTTGCCGAACATTAGGTCTTGCAAGCAGTTGACGTTCTTCATTAAGAGTTATAGATGCACCATTTCTCTATAAAAAACATATTATGATTAATAAAAAATACTTTTTAAAAGAGACACATTATCTATATAAATAAAATTAGAGTTTTGTCTGTATATCGGATAAAATTATAAACTTTTTATCTTTTGGTTTTTTGATTTCTGATAACTAGGAAAAAGACTTTGAAATAGTGTTGTATATAGGTGGGAAATTATATTTTTAAATAAGCATTTTTAGTCAAGATTTAGTATATAATTGATAGATAAAACTGATAGTAAAAATAAAAGTAGGCCTATTATGTTTTATTTGTCACCACTGGTGGTTTAATTTTGTTAAAGTGCATCTCATGTGATAGGATATATTAGGGTTAACTAGTAGATACAGATAATTAATCCTTTTATTGATTATTATATTGGTTTAAAACAAACAACATAAATTAAGTTATATATAATAGTTAGCATATCTAAAAATACATAAACCAACTGTTTTATAAGGTTTTAACTAAATACCATAAAAGTTTTATATTACACAGTTAGTGATTATATATTTTTAAATAAAACCTACCATTAATCGAAGTAAAGTCCAGACAAGATTAGGATATTCTTGTGATGACTCTATGATATGGACTCCAGTTTGTTCGGGAGGGTTACTTATCGACCACATATCTCGAATCCTATTTTGAGCATATTCCTAAAAAACCATACATATATAGATTAAAAATAAAGAATTAGACAAACTACTTCTACTACTATTAGAGGTACTTAAACTACATAGAGACCTACATACCTCAGAAATTGTCCAGAAGCCCGTAGGTATAGGTGGTATTAGGTCTAGATTATCATAGTCTAATGTGACAAAGGAAAGGACATCCCCATGCACATTAATGAAGTAATGTTCCAAGTCAGCATTGTAGGGATATTGATCCAAAAAGGTCTCCAAACCACCGCCCCACTGTAATAACAAATATATATTTATACAAAAGTTATGAATTAACTATCAAATTAAACTATAATTTGGCTCACAGCCCTAATTAACATATAGGCAAAATTTTATAAATATTTAAAGTCAGCTGTTGGTAAAAGTTGGTTCTATGATATACATTAAAATTACCAATAGGGTGCAGTCTATTATATTTATAAAACAGCTTCAGCATAGACAAAAATATACAATGAGAACTAGTAAAATTGTTTACAGTTAGGTTTTTAAATTTGTGATATCTTTTTAGGCTAAATAATAAAACATTATAGTAAATGTGTATACAACAAATATAAATAAAGATGAATAATAGTTTACTTACAGTTTCCAAAATTGATCGTTCTCTTTCATCTCTTGTATCTCCTTCTATTGTTGCCCTATCCTATAAAAACATATTCATTGATAAAAAACACTAACAAAGAGCTTTTCCTAATTAAAAATAAATAATTATTTTATAATAAATATATTAAAAAACACAAAGCTACTTTTAATTATTTATCTAAAGTTGTATAATTATATAGTACTACTTACTTGACCATTTGGGGGCAGATTTTCATCAACTGCTTCAGAGCTGATTAGTAGTCTCAATACAAGTAGTATGAAGAATAATAACACCATATTAGCTATGATGAAAACTAACATAACAATAATCCATATAGCAGCTAGCAGCTACAGCTTATATATATATGATTGGAGGGAGGGAACATCTGAGTTAACCACATTTTCCACCTCCTTCCTAAGACAGTATTATCTGTCACTATTTCCCCTCCTCTCCAAAGCAATATTATCTGTTACTATCATCATTTTCTAACAAGATGCTCAACACTAAAGACTGTTGGAGCTGTCGCCGCACCGTCTTTTGCTGCTCATTCGAGTACCTCTGGGATAGTTGGCTTCCCCTTTGTTGCCAGTACGTATCTTTAAACTTAGTTTTTAAAATTTTTTTCTTAAAGGTTTTTAACTTTATGCTGATTCTAATACTCTTTTAAATGATTTATAGGTGTTCGGAGCTAGCTTCAGAGGAGGAGATCCTAACTGTCCATTATGGACAGTTTAGGGAATACGTGGCCGAGTGCAGCCACGAGATTGAGGAAGAGGACGAGGAGCAAGAAGAAGAAATAGAAGAAGATGAAGGAATTGTGGCCGATTTAGAAGAAAATTGGTAAATTTATTAAATATATTTTCACTTAGGTGACACAGGTTTAAGTTTATAGTAGGATCATTATTTTATATAACCATATAAAAACATATATAATGTCTAAAGTTTAAATATCACAAATATTTTTAGGTAGGTATCCACTTTTATTTTAGGGTCCACTAAATCCCGACACATATATTTTTACATAAAAAACATACACTTAACTAATTAACCCACCCCCGACTAAGTTATTTGTCCAGTTAAAACTAAGCAAATTTTAACTTATATTTTTACTAAAAATATTTATCCCTAATTTAAATATCATTAAATTTAACAAACACTTAGGGTTGCTACAGCAGAGAGTAGTAAAAGTATTTTTAACTTTAATTGTATAAAATAATACAAGCAAACTATAACAGTTTACAATTTTCTCCATAAAAATAACATAGAAGTAACTATTTGGCACACAATAATGTTTTAATCTACTAAATTATTTTTAGGTTAAAAACCTGTTTTACTTTATAAAACTCTTGGTTCAGCTATGTTGGTAGCCTCTAGGGTTATCAAAATAAAATTGGTTCTAGGTCTTATTATAATATATTAGCTTATTTCCTATATAGAAATTTTGCTAAAACCAAAATTTTTATACAACTTTTACTAATTTAAATGATAAAAACTTATTAACAATTAAACTAAGTATTTTAAAACACAATTGTTATACAAATTGTCAAACAGCTACTATAGTTTTAACAATAACTTTCCTTAAAGATGTTTTTTTTTACATAATAATAAATATAGACTATAATAGGGATCAAGATATATATCATTTTACTTTATTTATATTGAAACTATAATTATAATATCCTACTAAAAAATCAATTTCTTATCTATATTATAAATTTAAAAGTTTGTGTGATTATATATATTACTCTTAAACAACTAAATAGATTAAGCTAAAGTTTAACACAATAATAATATATAGCCTCAAATATATACATATTTTATGAGTATTTAAAGTTAGCTGTTAAATCTATACATTAAAAATTATAAAATTCTCTAATAAGGTATAAGGTATTTATCTTTGTATTTATAAAAACAGCTTCAGCAAAGACAAAAATATATAATATAAACAATAAGTAGGATTGTTAACAATTAGATTTTCAAAATTGTGATATCTTTTTAGGTTAAATAGTAATATTCCAACTAAATTACAAATTAACTTTTGTCCTTCATTAATGCATAACTTGAGTATAACTGCAATACACCTTATATGCTAACCCAAAATAGGTATTTTGTTAGTAAAATAAATCACCGAGATTTGCTTATAAATATTTTATACAATAGTATTATATTTTTAATTCCCCAATAAATTCTCTATAATTTATATATCTCAAGATTTTTTTGTAAAGATTACACAAAATCATATTCGACATTGGTTTTACCACAGATAATAGACCGGATAAAACATGATAATAATTGACCATTTTTATAATTCTTATCTGACCCTATGCCACTAAAGATATCAAAGTCCGTTACAAGAAACCATACATCCTGTTGTACTATCCTCATCGTTATCGAGTACACTTATCACAGCGGATGTGTGTTTTTATTTAGATAACCCTTTCCGCCTGACAAATAATTTATATCTAGTATAGTTTTTCCTTATAAAAATTATATATACACATCTTTTAGCTTTATATTGGATAGGGTTTGAGACTATCCCCTCATTAAGTGAGGCCAAGTTAAGCGTTATACAACCTATCCAGTTTATAATATTATATACCAGTTTATAATATTATATAATATTATATTGGTTGATGTCGTAAAACGTCCTCTCCTTTATTTATAAAGCTTTTTTTTGTCAAGTCTATAGATTTAGTTATATAACCCTACCAAAGTTAACATTCAAAGTTTGCGGGCGGTTTAGTTGGCCTCGCCAGTGACTTTCACTCATGGTTTACGGGCTGTTTAGTTGGCCGCGCCAGTGACCAATAACATTCACACAAGTACAAAGAGGGGCACAGGTTATATCCAATCTGAATCCCTCAGTGTACACATTCACACAAGTACAAGGAGTAGCACAGGTTCTTCTAAATCTGAACTACTCAATGTACACACACACTCACACCTTGGTCAGGTTACATAAGTATATATCTATAGACTTGTTTTTTTTTACTAGGAGAGCTATATACATTAATATACAGTGAAAATTACAAAATTATTTACAAAGAAGTTTACATTTACAATACACTTTATGTGGCCCTTTGGACTTTTCTATATCCAAAAGGTAAAGTATCATATTGACCTTCATACCTCCTTTTAGGACCAGTTATTTTAAACACTTTGCTCTCAGCGATGGTGACGATGTCTCTGTCTCTAGTCCTTCTGATTCTACTTTCTTCAATTTCAACAGTCTGTTTTGCTTCACTCAGAACCATCTCTTTTAATTTTTCAAAATTTACAACTTTTGATGTTTTAAAGTTAAGGGTGAGGCCCTTGATTTTACATATTGGGATCAATTTTTGTTGATTAGTTGACCAGACAAGGTACGCGTAAGTTTTAGGCCCCCCAGAGACAAACTCAGTGATATAAGAGCCAGGTCCATACTCTACTAATTCGTCAGTCATTTCACCGAGGTAATCTCCTGTAGACACCCTATAAAGACCGTTTCCATATATGTAAACAAAACTGTCAGTATCATAATATAATACTTGAGCTCCTAGGGCCTCAAGGTGTTCATAGAGCTTGAGTCTTGCCTGCGAGGTAGTGTAGGCCGCAATACAAACGTTTATGTTACCAAGACATTCACCTACCTCTGTTAAATATTCCCATGAAACTACAACAACCTCATCATTAACAATCTGAATTCTGTTTACTTTAATTTCGGGGCTAGAGAGCATTTGAAATAATGTTTTCGAGTCTCTAACAATAGTAGCCTTAGTTTGATTTTCCCTCTGTCCAAATTTTCCCCAAAAACTGTTTAGCATTAATTTTGCCAAAGATCTCAAACCTCCATTCTTAACAATCTTTTCTTTCTCCAACTTAATTCCCTCGTGTCCCAAATACTCTGCAATATACTTATTTTTGTCCTCCTCAGTCTTACACCATTCCGGATAGCCCGAAGCTTCCTGTTTCATCTTAAGAAATTTATTGATAAAATCGGTGAACAAACCCCCATTTTCATAAGTCGCTACCTGATACTCCCACAACTCATACATATCCAATACAATATACCCTTTCTCTACTGCCTTTCTGATTTCATCCATTGTCCATGTCCCAACTAATGCCCTATTATCACTGTCATGATTACACTCTCCCTGATACATCATTTCCCCACACGTTCTACACAACACAAACATCAATTTATCATTCATTTTTGTAGGGAGTACAGGGTGGTAGAGATCACGAGGCGGCAATACTTTACATTTTAACAAACCCTCTACACCCATACCTCTTTCACGACACTCCCTGTCTCCTACATAGATGGTTGGGTGGCCTATGGGGTACTTCCCATACTTACAAACATAAGGGTATAGGGAACAAACATCAACATACTGTATAGTTTCCCCCTCAACACATTTGTGATACGATTTTGCGTTGCCCGTCCTACCTCCAAAAAAAGCCTACCTTGGATCAAGTGGGAGATTGTTTAAGATAGGCAAACTATCCAGATATTTAAGCTGCTGATCTTTTTTTTGTTTACGAAATTCGCATTCCCACATCTCTACTAGTGCGTGTTCTGTAAACTTTGCATTTTTAGCCTTGGTTCGCTCATAGCGAAGATGTAGGCTATCAGAAGGATCCTCTTTTAAAGGAGCGTGACGGTTGTAAGGAAAACATTTAACACATCCGTGGAAATAACAACCATTAAATTCGTAGATGTTCCTGCCATCAAAACCATCTACTTTCATTCCATTGACTTTGACTTCTTTACCTCGACCTGCGTGGCCAATCCTAATCCCGTTGGTTTCCTCGACCCAAGAAAGCCATTGGAGCGCTATATTTGATTGATTGTCTACTAATCGATAGCCGTTCTTAGGGATAAGTCCGATAGTATTGGGTTTCAGGAAATTACGGCGGAAAGCTAGATTACAAGCACTCGCAATGGTAACAGCCTCGAGAAACGGGTCAACATTACACTCTTTTAGAAAAATTGAACGAAACTTTAGACAGGCTTGGGCTAAGATATCAACATCTGAAATACAATAGACTAGGATCTCATTTTTAAAGTTGAACTCATAGTTACTAATGACCTGGTCGCTGTACCATTTTTCAAAGTCATTGTGGGATTTCTCAAACATAGATTCGGGACAGTAGTACTTTTTGTCCGGCATAGGGCCTACATAGTCTTGATTTGCCAGAGTATTGAACAGGTGGGGAAAGTAGCCTTTCTTTTTCTCTGGAGGTAGGTCAAAGGCTTTAGGCAGAGCATACAGAGCCATAGGGAAGTAGCTAAGGGAGTCAACAAACCTCACATTATCAATTTCCATTAGAATGATTTTAGTTCCCCACATTACAAGTTCCGGTGTGAATTTTGTTTCTTCCAACAAGTACTTTAACAAAAATTGAAAGTCAAACCCCTGCCCATTATGTGCAATTACACAGATTTTTTTAAACTGTTTCCTCACTGACATGACATAGTTCATAAACTGATTGATAGGGTCAGAGTCAAACACTCGTGTACGATTTTTACATGCTATACAGAATTTCCCCTCAATACACTGATAACAAAATTGCTGGGACACACACAAGTTTACTTTATGCACTTTACTTTCAGGGTCAGAGGGCAGAGGCTCATCCTGACGGGTTTCCAAGTCAAAGAAAATAAAAGCATAATCTTTAGATTTAGGTTTACCCTCATTAGGTTTCATATAACATTTATGGTTAGGATCTTTAAATGCTCCACAAGGTTTACAAAATACTTCCCCACACTTATGTGGGGTTGATCGTTCCTTAAGCAAAACTAGTTTCCCGCAATCAAGACATTTCTTTACATGTTTACACCTATCAACCTGATGCGCAATGAAACAGCGTTGGTTTTTATAAGTTAGATTGCATTTAGGACACAAGATTCCCCCATACACCTCTACACAAGGAGGTGAGATAGTCTGACAACAGGGACAAATGTTTGAACAGCGGTGCTCACCTTTATGATCATACGGGACATAACAACCATCACAGAAATAGTTACATACAAAAGCAGCAGTCAGGCTAGTAATTACATTGTAATGTCCATTATGAAACAACAAGTTAATTTTAAACTTGGGGTTCTCTACATTTCCCTCAAAATACACATCCCGACCTTTAGCGTTGTAGTTGTACACAGTGATTTTATAGTCTTTAAGCAGATGTTGGAATTTTTCAAGCTCAGAAATACCTGCACCACCCTCAGGCATCACGACTCTTGCTCTACGTACAAGTTCCTGAGCCCTAATAGTCTGTCTTTTTCTATCATCTTGTCTCACAGCTTTGTATTCGGGATCTTTAGTTATATTAGCTATAGCCACTACAATAGCACGAGGAAGACACAGGTTATCTTTATTATTAATTACAACAATCCCTTTCCTAGCTTTACATTCTTCATCAAAAGTGTTGTACAAGCCTGGTCTTTTGCGGCACCCTGAACCTACAGGGAGATTAACTCGGGTACATTCAACTTGAAACGTGTCCGTGGACTTGATTGATTCAGCGTTTGATTGCACAATTCCCCCAAAAATTTGCCATAAGACATCCTCGTTTACTTCATTTGCAGGGCGAAAAGCAACAAACCCTGGCTCTTTACTTTTTAGGTTAAGTGAACGCAAAGTAAATCCCAATTGGTCGCCCTCCTGACAAACTTCTTTCATTTCATTTACAATTTGACCAAACCCTTGTCTTAGCCAGTCAATCTCACTAGTTTCTGGTGGGGGGTTAGAAAACTTAAAAACAGTATTAATTCCATGAATGCGAAATCTCTTTACATAATTTTCATGTTTATCTAGAATATTTACAGGGACAATTACTTCAACAGAATCTTCTACAACATTTACAGGTTCATTATTATCAACAGATTCATTGGAATCTACTGGAGCAGAGTTACTTACATCCGTCATCTTGAAGCACTGGGAGCAAAGTGATGCAATAATGGCAGGGTTGCGATAAGGGTTTATATAGGGACAAGAATGACCACAAATGTGGTTATCAAAGGTGACGTGGTACACAAGAGGAAGTGATAGCTGTTGTTTTAGATGATGCAATACCACAAAAGTGGTTATCAAAGGTGGTTATCCGGTTGTGATTTGGTACACAGGAAATGATAGTTGCTATTTTAGATGATGCAATACCACACAAGATGTCGACATTATATTTAATATTATATACTATATAATTATTATATACTAATTATGTTTATTATTTGTTTCAGATGGCTGCCCCTCTCCTCCTCCTCTACTAGCACTAAGTATTTAGTTGTAGAAATATCAAAATATGTATATAATATAAATAGAAATAATATAAGTTTGTATATATAAATAAATTCATATTTAGCTTTCACAGTTGTTTTTATTATTCTTTCAACTAAATATCCAACAAGTTTTAAAATTACATAATCTAATAGGGGGAGGCAATGGAAAAATTGGCGGGAAAGCATATAAGACAGAAGTGAGGTTATGTTACAAGAGCACCTAACCTGTAGTTGGCTAGACACTAGTGCTGTAACCTAGTAGAGAATTTGTAAACTAATACCTCAACTTAGAGTAACATACTGTTAACACTTAGTAATAAATTATTAAGTAAAAAGTGAGGTTATGTTACATATACAAAGTCACATAAGTGGCTAACAGTAGTTGGTAGCACTAGTGCTGCAACCTAGTAGAGAATTTATAAACTAATACCTCAACTCAGAGTAATCTGTTATGATGAATCTTATATCAAGTCATCAATCATAATTATAATCAAGTCATAAATTATAATCATAAGTAATCATTATTATAATTATACCATCAACACTAGCGCTCTAGTGGTGAATTAACAAAGTGGTTTGGGTAAAAGTGAGGTTATGTTACATATACAATAAAATCAGTAGTTGGTAGCACTAGTACTGCTACCTAGTAGAGAATTTGTAAACTAATACCTCAACTCAGAGTAACATACCATCGACACTTAATAATAAATTAATAAGTAAAAAGTGAGGTTATGTTACATATACAAAGTCACATAAGTGGCTAACAGTAGTTGGTAGCACTAGTGCTGCAACCTAGTAGAGAATTTATAAACTAATACCTCAACTCAGAGTGATCTGTTATGATGAATCTTATATCAAGTCATCAATCATAATTATAATCATAAGTAATCATTATTATAATTATACCATCAACACTAGCGCTCTAGTGGTGAATTAACAGACTGGTTTAGGTAAAAAGTGAGGTTATGTTACATATACAAGAGATCAAACCTCCAAGACTCATATACAAACAGTTAACTATACCAACAAAAAAAACACCCCTACCGGAAATGATTGGTGATTGGTAAGGATTAAACCTCTAAAACACCCACTACAATACAACACTATACAAAAAACAACCTAAGTAACTCGTTTAGCATAGATTAGATGTAAGTTTGACATATGATATTTAATAGCCTTTACAAAGACCATTTTTATACTCAGTGGTAAACTTAAGCCTTCTTTCAGCTGTTTTTAACATCAGATACATAAATTATCATTTGTTTTATCACACTATAGCATATATAGAATAACCTCCAATGATATATTAGTTAGCATTAAACCTCTAGTATAGGCTAGAATCGAACCCACAGACCTCCAACCAATACTTACACACCCTGTATATGTAGGTTACAGAGATACACATATACAAATTATAATATCAACATAACCTCCAATACTACTACACATTTAACATTCTTTTATGATCAACGGTAAAATTCCACTTAAGCCCTCTTTCAGCTGATTTATATTTATTATACACTATAAAATAACCTCCAACATTTACCAATTATGATCAACAGTAAGGTTTAAGCATTATACACTATATAAAACGTTTTTTTTACAAATCCTACTAGGATAGGATTGAACCCGTGAACCTCTAAACTAGATCACGTGATCAGCTGAAATAAACAGTTGTGATTGGTTAGGATTGAACCCATAAACCTCTAGCATAGGTTAGGATTGAACCAGTAAACCTCAGTTACCATTAGTGGTTGGTTAGATTCGAACCCGTGAACCTCTAACATAGGTTAGATTCGAACCCGTGAACCTCCAATGATAGGTTAGCATTAAACCCATAGACCTCTAGCATAGGTTAGGATTGAACCAGTAAACCTCAGTTACCATTAGTGGTTGGTTAGATTCGAACCCGTGAACCTCTAACATAGGTTAGATTCAAACCCGTGAACCTCCAATGATAGGTTAGCATTAAACCCATAGACCTCAGTTTAGATTCGAAACCTCTAACATAGGTTAGATTCAAACCCGTGAACCTCCATGTTAAAATCAAATCTCCAATACACACCCTGTATATGCAAGGTATAGGTACAAGGGTATAGGTACCCTGTATAAGGTGTCATTTACCACTATAAACTCTATACCCAAAACTACTGTTGTGGCTCATATGGTAACGACTCCAACTACCAACAAAAAGACCGGGGTTCGAAACCCGGTCAGGCCAACACTTTTTATCCATTATTTAATTTAATAATTTATTTAATATAAACACCTACTGACGTCACGTGGTCAACTAATGTCACGTGGTCAACTAATCAGCTGTAGTTAAACCAGCTGAGAGTACCCTATCTACACCTAGATCATCTCAAGGTCAATTTCTGCCAAGTCGCTGGGCTGACTGCTCATGCTGGTTCGCGAACACACAGAAATCTTTAAATTTTGATCCATTAATTCACGAAAATAATTCCAATCTGTATTTTTGTTGCACAAATGTGGTGGAATATGTTTAAATATAACATTTGAAGCGATCGTTAAAATTACAGGTGAGTGGTCTGAGGAAAGGTCCAGAGATTGCTCGATTGTCACAAAATCTCGGGATACACCTTTTGTAACAAAAAATGCGACGACCAATATTTACGACGTGGCCTTTGAGGCATGCTCAAAACAAATATAGCAAAACTGTTACTTCCATTGATAAACTGTTACATTACGACTTTAACCTAGGATGAAAGTAAACATTGAAATGTAAACAAAACAGTTACAAACAATTAACATATGTTTATCTTATTTAAATGAAACGAGATAAACCCATATGTCATAAACCCAATATAATTTTTCTTTCAACTTACATTAAAATAACAAGCGAAATTGCGTGACCCGTAAAATAAAATCCAGAAGGAAATTTGCAATAGTATATTACGTTACTAGTCCTGAAAATAAGTGTTTACCGGACGAGTGTGGTCGTTCCCGTGCGAGACGAAGTCGAGTACGGGATTACCATACGAGTCCGGTAAACACATTTTGGACGAGTTACGTACGATAGTTTACGCCATACTACTAAATCTCTACAAATCCTTATATATTACCACCAACTAAAGGACTAAAAATCACTAGTCATAACCTCTAAGCGAGGTTATGTTTTTGTCTACAACCAAACCACTCATTGCCACCCAAATACAGTATAATCAGCTGATTGGTGTCCGGTAAAACTCATTGCATAACAGTAGTACGCAATGAAACCCCATTTGATTAAGCTGGCGGCAAACAGCTGTTTTCTGGACTAAATACTTGCGTGGGAAGTTCGTTAAAACAGTGTAGTATGGCGTAAATATTTTTTTACCAAAACATTGTGCTCAGTATTCTTTAGCTGTTGGCCAAATTTCATATCAATTGGTCAAGCCATTACATTCTGATGCCCTTAAAAAGAAGTTACAAAGTGAGGGAAAGTGAGCTTCGCTCAATAATACGATTAGATACAAATTTGACATAGGATTATAACCTAAAAAAAGTCAAATCCAAAGTCCTTTATTTTTGTTAACCTGATTTTTGTTTTGATAAAAAATTTGTTTTTTCGCAAGATAATGACCATTGGTACCATTTTCCTCCGTTTAATAATTGATCAACGCTGTTTGGCGAAATAATATTACATTTGGATGGTAAAAATGTAACTGGCCTAAGCGTTTATTTCAAGTTACGGCCTGATTCATACCATAGATAAAACATTCTCATACGTTGAAGTACAGTCATAGATTAAACATGTACAGTGCTGCTAATTATACTAATATTACAAATGAAAGTTTGTGTTTTTGTTTGGGGTTCAATCGCTCAATAACAACTCATTGGGCACATCGGGATTATGCTGAAATTTGGCATGATGATAACACTTTCCTGATAAAAAAAATATTATACAGTATTATAGTACAGTATATTATAGTACAGTATAATTATACAGTATTATGGGTATTATACCAGGTATACACCTACAAAAAATCCTAAGAAACTAATAACTTATTTTTCAAAATTATTAAAGTTTCACGTTTTTGTCTTTAATAAAAATATGCTAAAACATAACAAATATTGTTATTTTAATTCTAAAATGACCCTTAATCGTTAATTTGTAGTCAGTTTATCTTAAATTTTTTTTAAACAATAACCGTTGATTAAAAGAAAAAGTTGTCTTGTTGTGTGCGTGGATGCGTGTACTTTATTTTTATGGCAGATCTTTAAAGGAAAAAGAAAATTAATGAATTAACAATACTAATGCATAGTTAACTTAACAGTAAACTAGATAACACATGTCCAGGTAAACTGCAAAAAGTGATGCATTTTATAATACACAGACAAAAGCGGCTTTTAAGCGGCTTTTGCCAACAAAGATGGCGGGTTGTCATGTACACCCTATGTTAACTCTCGTCAACCCGCCACCTCGCATGTAAGCGACAACGTGCCACCACGTCAACCCACCATCACTATTTTTATGAGGTGGCGGGTTGTCGTGTACGCTCAATGTTCGGTGTCGTCAACCCGCCACCTCACACGTAGACGTCAACCAGCCACCACACTAAAGAGGTGGCTGGTTGACGTGTATGAACACGTCTAAGCACCACCAGGACAACGTGCCCTCACGACAAACCACCACCACACATTTTTCCGAGGTGGCGGGTTGCCGTACACGCTAGAGTCAAAATGCCACTCCGACAACGAGCCACCACGTCAACCCACCACCTCAAACTTCTTCTTCTTTATGATGGCGGGTTGACGTGGTGGCGCCTTGGCGCGTTCCCATCTGAAGGACCTGGGTTCGAATCCCACCCGTAGCACTATTTTTTTATTGGTTTTTTTCATTATCAACAAGCTTGGTTGGTTTGGTTAAACATTAAAACATTATGAAATTGAATTTGACCCTTTTATAGTTTTATTTTATGAACAGAAATATTTTTTTCTGTTAAACCTTTATTTGATTTTTCATTGTTAGCAAGTCTGGTTAGTTTGGTTAGGTTATGATAGTTTAATTTTGTAATAAAAAAATTATGAAATAGGATTTGAGGCATTTATAGTTTTTATTTTATGAACAGAACTATTTTTTCGATTAATAAACCTTCATTAGATTTTTTCATTGGCAGCACGTTTTGCCAACGAATGAGTCACCCGAAGGTTGGTTTGGTTAGGCTATGACGGTTTGATTTCATAATAAAAAAATATAAAATTGAATTTGAGGCATTTATAATTTTATTCTATGAACAAAAATAATTGTTCAATTACTAAACCTTCGTTATAGTCAATCAGAAGCCTCTTAATGACACTGTTGGCAAAATTAATCCTGAAAAACAAATTGTGCACACTGCCAGCCAACCAATTATAGCGCAATAGCCTAACCACTCAGTAACAGTCACTTAAATAGTCACTGTTAAACAAGAACATTGATTAAACAAACACATTGCATAACATAAAGTATAATATATTATTTTACAGCATTTATTTCTGGTTCAATGAGGACATTATTCACAGAAGTGTTAACAAAATAAGAACAAGAAATTTACAATAATAACTTCGTGGGTTCGCCCAGACCCGATACCCAGACACCCTGTAACATAATTAATTTAGATTTTAAACATATTCAATTTTCTTTAGGCTTCATTATGTACGCGTCTAATTAATTGGCACCACGTCAGATTGGCACCCTTCCTTGAGGTGACGATCAGACGTGTATGGTAGCCGACAGATTGAAACCCGGAGAAAGGGGTGGTGCCAATCTGTCGTGGTGACAACCTGACAGCGGCCACAGAGGGTGACAATCCGTCGTAATAGCCCCGACAAGTTTGAACCCCGAGAAAGGGGTGGTGCCAATCTGTCGTGGTGACAACCTGACAGCGGCCACAGAGGGTGACAATCCGTCGTAATAGCCCCGACAAGTTTGTACCCCGAGAAAGGGGTGGTGGCAATCTGTCGTGGTGACAACCTGATTGCGGCCGCAGAGGGTGACAATCAGTCGTAACAGTACCCGACAGAATGGCACCCCTGGCCTCAATAGGCCATTCTTATAGTTTTACATGACCGAAGCAACCGAAGCAAACTAGAGAAAAAAAGAAGAAAAAAAACCAAAACCAGACCAAGAAAAAAAATAAAGAACTAAAAAAATGCAATGATGAATTACCCAATAACCCAATTACCTATAACCTAACCTACCCATTCCAACAAAATAAACAATAAACTACTAATAAAAATAAAATCATTTAAGACAAAACTGCTGACAGCTAGTTGAGTGGTAAAGAAATTAGTATCGTGAACTCGAAATTCTTACCTGTGGTTGCCTAATAAGTTATTACACTTACCTCAATATTAATTGTTTTGTCAATGTGACTAACCTCCAACATGTTCAAGTAACTAGGTGAGTGTTATGTTTTTATTTCCTAAAACCATTCTTATCCTTATTTACCGGTACCTTATACTTTGGTCATTTTATCACTATTAATACATAGGGCCAACATAGCACACGAATACACAATTTGCACAATTGGGTTGGCCCGACTAGGGATCGGGTCCAGCCGCACAGATGGATCTAGGCCCAGGCCTAGAGAATGATCCGAATGACATAGAAACCCAAAAAGCAGTGGCTAATATTAAACTTATAGGCGTAAAGATGGAAAACTTCAACACCACCGGTACTCATATTAGGCTACATCTGAGTAATGTTGAAATTGAAGACTTACAACTAGGAATAGGCCTAAATGAAATAGATAAGCTAGGTCTAGATCGAAGTCGACCAAAAAAAATTGAGTGTTGATAAGCCTACGTCCGATCAGGGTAGGGCCTATTTGATAATGTAGGGGCTTCTACAAAGTTTTGAAAAAAAATGGGTTTTCTCATTATAACTTATTTGGCCTATTTTTTTAACACTTCACATTTGGAACTTTTGGGACAAACGCCTATTTCACCCTAAAAATTGCCTAAAAGTGCAAACAAAAATCTGTGTTTTTTCATATTTTTAATGTGTTTTCGGCTGCACTTTACTTTAGGTCCTTACACTCATTCGATTGAAAATATCGATCGATATATCGATTAATCAATTGTTTCATTTGATATAGGCCTATCGTTTGGTTAGTTAGGTAAAGTTAACCTAACCTAACTAACCAAACGATACATCGAATGAAACAATCGAATAATCAATATTTTCATTCGAATGAGTGTAGGACCTAAAGTAAAGTGCAGCCGTGTTTTCTACTAAGTTAGGTATTAAGTTACTTTAGGACATTTTAACCCTAGCAGTGTTGGCCAATGTTAAGTGTGGAAAGGCTAGCCAATTTTGGTGATTTTGCAGACCTTTTTGTGAAAATTCGGCAAATATTTGATATATCTACAATGCGATATCAATAATAATAGTAATTTTTAGATGTCTACTTACAGCATATTTCACGCTGAATCCAAAAATGCAATCAGTTTTTGTCGGAGAGATTCATAAGTGGTCGTAAAACTAAGGTTATTCTGAGTCTAAGGTTCATTGAGCTATACTGATAGTAATATGGCGTGGTCTGGGCGGGTCTGTACAGTGGACTGTGGACTGAGTGAGGAGGAGAGCAAACAGCTGTTTATACTCGGCTTAATGCGGAATATAATCAATTCGTTTTGAAACCAAATAATCAGTTCTTATTTAGGCATGTGAGGAAGGTAGGTCGGGTTTTATGCGGATTCGTGACTGTATTAAGTGTTTTGAAGTGAGGTTAGGCCTAGATTAGGAAGATAAAGGTTAGGTTATAATGAACCGACTCATTAATTTATGCTTCTTCCAGACTGTTTTTGCACAATTAAATAGTAGGTGAAACACAATGAAATAACGATATCAAAAATGCGTAATGGCACCAAAGTACGAGTTATTGAATATTGTAACTCTGATTTTGCTCTCATAGCTTCGTGTGTGGTTTTGTCTGTTTAGTATCGAATGTAAACAACTGACAGCTGCTTCCACTCCACAAACCTTCCACCTGTTCAGTGTTAGTCGCCACTAGAACTTGGACTCGTCCAAACCACAAATAGGTGAATAACCCAACAAAACTGAAGCTTAATATTAATTATTTAACTGTAGGCCTACCGCAACTTAGGAATCTCTCCAACAAAAACTGATTGCATTTTTGGATTCAGCGTGAAAAATACTGTAAGTAGACATCTAAAAATTACGTACGACATCGCATTGTAGATACATATGTAAAATAATTACAGAATATTCATAAATATTCAACTAAAAGTAAACTTCGCCAACCTTATATTCCTTTTGTTCGGAAAGAACACGAGATTCTAGAAATAGTAGGCCAATTATAATAATGATTTAGAAAGTTTTTTTTTTCGGTAAAATGAAAAGAATACAAAAAATTTAGAATTTTCTTGTTGAAATTTCAAAAGCAGTCTGGGTTAAATTTTTTTAACAGATTTTTTATGGGAAATTCATTATATAGGCTACATTTAGTTATACAGTAATCTAATTCCCTAGGTAACATGTTAGGAAAATATTTTTTTTTTGTAAGTTTTTTGGGCGTAGTAAGTTATAATAACAAACGGAGAACCAGAAAAATGAAAAACCTTACAGTGTTAGGCCTAGTTTGTGTTGTAAAAAAGTTATATAATATATTTACGATAGGCCTATACTAATATAATGATTTACATATTTGTAAAGCTAATGAAGTAAGGAATCAGGAATCCAAAAAGTCACAAAGTTTATGGTAAAAATAATTTTTTATTTAGGCCTACCGGTACCTTTAAATAAAATAATTTTTTATAAATTATCTTAGCAATTTCGTGAGAAAAAAATCTCAGTAGGCCTAGGCCTATTTAGTAGCCCATAAAACTTTTGTACCAAATGTTTAATACTTCAAACTAACATAATCATCTTGTAGTGTATTCAATTACCTGCCGGTACATACAAATTTATAACACGTTGGGTAGCAATTTTTGTTTTTACGTGTTAGGGGCATAAAATCAAATCAAATCAAATCAAATCATGTTTATTAGCACATAAACGTACAGAGGTTTTAGATAAATGCACAGGTGCTTCGTCATTCTTCTTATAGTCTAATATTCTAATATTATATAATGTCCTTTTTTACAATGTATTTATTAATAATAAATAAAATAGTTTTTAATATTTGAGGAACTCTTTAAATAGACTAGTCAAAAGGTTTAATAAAACAGATAACGTCAAGCTTAAAACTAAATAACAAGATTTATAGAATTTAATTATAAATAAAACATAAAAAATGTACAAAACATGTAATTTTAGTCAATAACGAGGTCTTCATTAAAATTTCACAACAAAAACGATATATATAAAATATGTAACATTTAAAAATCAACAAGATTAACATGGAGAAGGAACTTTTTACCCTATAAAATATTATGGAAGTAACAGGACCTGCTTATAACATTTGAGAGTCATTTAGAAAATCGTCAACTTTATAATAGGCCTTTCTGATCAAAATACTCTTAATGTTATCTGCAAATTGTGCTGGACTCATTGCTGTATTTTTTAAGTCATTTGGAAGTTTATTGAACAATTTAATTCCCATGTAATGAATACTTCTTTCTAAAGATGTTGTAGAATGATGAGTGTATATAAGCAAATTCTGGTTTCTAGTATTGTAATTGTGGCTATTTTTTTCTATAGAGTACCAATTTAAATTATTTTTTACATGACACAGAACCTCAAAAATGTAGATACATGGTACTGTAAGTATTTTTAAACTTTTAAATACTTCTTTACATGAGCTTCCAGGCTGTTTGAGGGTCATGGCTCTTAGGCATTTCTTTTGTACTTTCAATACATTTTTTTTTAAATTTGTTGCGCCCCATAATGTTATCATAATGTTAGTCATAATAATATAATAAACGGAAAACCGCAAAATACAACCGCAAGAAAAATACAACCGTTTATAAACACAATTTCACACTATTAAGTAAATATTCATGCATAATAAAATGCATGAAGATTACCGTTACATAGGCCTACACACACATTTCTCTAACAATACGAAATAATAACGAATTTAGTAATAAATCGTGGATAACGCGAGAGTGAAAAGTCACCGGCAACAACACGCAATGGTGAATACAAGGCACTTTGTGTATGAGACCTTGACAGTAGTGACGCACTTTCGTTGTCTTCCTGAGAGAACGGAAATAATCCTGAGCGCAGGACTGCCACTACCACAAGCTACATTTCTTCCTCTTCAAAATGACATATTATATGACTAGTAATAATAACTTACACTGTATGTAATTCGTTTGCCGTACTAGCGTATTATGATGGTTGGCCATTTGTTATAAATTTCGAAAACAGCTGTTTTCATAAAATCGTACCCATTGTGCAATCAATATTTCGTTCTAAATATCAATACTACAATGAAGATAAAATCAATGGCTATCCAGTGGTACCACCCGCAACATCCCAAGACGAAAATTATCCGAGCAGGGTAATGCCAAACAAGTCGTGTTTTGACAGTTTCCAAGTGTCAGCTGCAAAAGTTGTGCTACGCCAAAAATTTATATGATTTCTAATCGTCGTGGCCTTAGAAACCTAGCAGGCTTCACCTTAAACAGAGACAAATGTTTGTTCTCTCAAACCTCCTTAACCTACTTAGGTCACCATCTATCCGAATCAGGAATCAAAGTCGATGAGACCAAAGTCGAAGCTATAAGAAAAATGGCACCTCCAACAGATATTTTGGGTGTACAAAGGTTACTTGGCATGGTTAACTTTATTGGTAAATACATACCTAACAAAAGTAGATTACTAATACCCCCGCCGCAGCAAACCTGCCGACTAAGCGAATTTCCATTTGTCTGAATTGATTTTCAGTTAAATATATTTTAATAACATTAGGTTTAACGAGTACCTAGGTTTGCTGCTACAAGGAAACTAATAAAGTGTGTTTTTGAGTAAAATATTGATAGCTTAGTACAAAATAAATAAATTTGCCAAGTTTGATCAAAATATATCCATAAACAAGCAAACTACAACATTTGACAATATTCTCCATAAGAATAACATGGGAATTTTAAATTTACAATTTTTTTAATTTTCTCCGTTACTAATAATCGAACAAAAATACTTTTATATACTAAATTATTTGTTTTTTTAAGCTCTTTAAAAAGGTCTAAAGAGAAATCGGGAAATTTTGTGTTTTGAGGGTCAAAAGTGAGAAAAACCAATTTTTACCCCATAAAACCCCCCATAAAGCCCCGTTCCCATGGTCCGATCGTGCTGGTTCGCGAACTCATTCAAGTTTATCCCGCTTTACACCTTTAAACCAAATTTCATCAAAATCGGACAAAAATTACTCAAGTTATCGCGTTCACGGACGTATATATATATAAGTCTATATATATATATATATATACATA